TAGCCCCCCCCCCCCCCCCGAAATTGTTTTCCAGTTACGGCCTTGCTTCAGATAGCCTGAGATTCACAGTATAGTTGCTTCCGGTGTTATTATTTAAAAATTAATCTCATCATCCTATAATAGTCAAGTAGGACTGTGGATACGTTCGTAGTAATGATAGATTAGAAATTTCGAAACGTCTACCAACTAAAATTAATCCATCCTTAAGAAAGAAATGTATAAACTTTATTTTATTTCAATGGTTTCATTAATTTTCAGCTTCTAAAGCTTGTAATTCATCAAAAAAAAAAAACTTAAAATTATTAAATTTGCTTTAATAAGCACATTATTAGATGATTGAATTTCTTTTAATAACAAATCATTTTTATGAAACACTTGCTTTGTTTTTAAATATTTGATAAATATCTAAAACTAAACTGTAGTTTGTTTAAGCCTTTTCCATGAAGAAAAATATCTTATTTATTCTTAAGGTACTTGGACTTCAGCTGTGGCTCTGTTTGGGTATCTCTTTTTCTTCTATTATCCTTTTTAGAATGTTTCTATAATTAATTTGCTTTAGATATTCAATCAGGTTCACTAAAGTCTAGACACACGCATTGTTCTTGCGTTTAAGCCATAGCATATCATATTAGCAGGAATTTTATTTGTCCATAACTCCATTGTAATGTATTTGTGATTATCTAATTTAAGTGACATCATCTCAATCATACAGTGTATTTCACCGAAGCTTTTGTTAAACTGAAGCAATTTTTCTTTGCGAAATACCGACAACAAGATTGTTTAAATAATTAAATATAACATTGACCTTCAGCTTACACTTGATATCTGATCGAACGTGTAAAAATATACATAGAATATCTGAAGTGGTCGGGATCATCTGGCAAAACTATTAAGTTATTTAATGTTCATTGTGTTGTGTGTGCTTAGAAGAAGTTAGTTGAAAGAATAGGTCGCTAAATAATGGTAAAACAATCATATAAATGAAAAATATTATACCAATAATATTTGGTCCAACAAAATATATGTTATTATACGGTTACCTCATTAGTACAATAATACGTAAATACAATTTAAAAAAACTCACAAGTAAATAAAGCACGAACTGAAGATGTAGCTACATAAATTCTAAATAGTATAAAATCATACTGAAAAAAAAATTCAATAAATTATTGTACACTAACATACAAATAATAAAATAATAAATTAGGTGATCCACACCTTTTATGTATATAAATATAAAATTAAGACTCCATCAAGTATAAATTATGATTGAAGATACGAAATTGTGGCGATTTGTGTACACGCACAAAAATTATAATACATTTATAAATAAAATATAAATTTTGATTCTCTGGATCCCGCGGATTAGCCACACGTAACCGAATTTTATTTATAACATATAACAGCTATTTTTTAAAACTCAAAAATCATCTTTTACTTTAGATATTTTATATTTACTACAAAATGAGTACGAAACTATGATGTAGAGTTACGGAAAATATAAGTATAAGAAAAAAAAAAAGTTGAAAAAGATGAAATGTGAATCTAATGCGATTCAATTTGGGTTGTTCTTAAAAAACTACATAATGACCGTTGACGTAGCTAAGGGGGAAACTAAGGAAAATAACCGCCCTCTCCGTCATGGGTTGTGTTTATTTGTATATACTATACTAGTATACTATTATTAGGTATTAAAGTATTTCAAAACTTTTGTACTACTTAAATGTTTACGAATAACGATTGTTTGTTTTCGGTACATAAGCATATTACTTCTACCGTAATTATGAAGGTTACGATGACTCTCGTCTAACACTATAATTTTGTAATCATTATAGTTTTTATACTATGTTATTTCGCGGTGATGCTACCGCAGCTGACTACTATTAATTTACTATTATTATAAATTATATTTTAATATATATTTTTAAAACTATTTAAAATTCAGAAAATATAATTATAAACATGAGGGAGGGGATAAATGTTGAATTCTCAAATCTTCTCTTAACTATCATAACCTGGTTAAAAAAGTGTTTCGCCCATCCTATTTAAGAATTCTGGCTATGCCACTGCTAATGAGGAAAATGTATTTAAACAAATGTGCTTACCGGACATACTATGAGTTTCTTTCGATTTTGAATTTTGTAAATTCTCAGCTAGAATCATAAATTGATAAAAATAATAATAATTATATCTTATATAAAACATAAGATGATTATTTATTTTGTATAATATTATGATTGTTATGTTCACATACACTATTTAACATTAATTAGAACTAATTAAGGCTGTATATAGACGAATTTAGTTTTTACCAAGACCAACGATTAAAAGTGTATACCAACATACATCAATTATATATTAATATCAGTTCTTACTTAAAATGAATCCACTTGACATTGTCACACACATTGTTACCACAACAAAATAAATGCACAATAATGTTTTCTTCAATTCGTCCATTGCTATGTAAATACAGGAATCTATATCTATATATACAATATATATATATATATATATATATATAATGTAATTTCAAACTTTTAATTTTTATTGTATTTATGTGAATAATCTAAGAAAATACTTACTTATCGATTAGACTTTAACTGTTGACAAATAAAGAGTTTGAGTAAATTTAAAGAAAACAACTAAAGAATAACGAATTTATACCCTAGTTATAATCATAATGATGCATTGGTGTTTATTGACCTTATGGAGAGGAGGAGAAAGTAATGCCATGTTTTTTGACTATGTAATTAAAAATTTGATTTATCTGTTAATAATATTCGTATAAAAACCATTTTATATCTGTATCTACATGTTTTGTTTTGTAAAGCATTTGTTCAACTTTTGGCATCCACTTGTTTAAGCGAACTTGCAGTTTTCCCAAAAGTAAATACTAAAATTGCTTAAAGACTATTTAAAAAATAAAATAAATGTAGTTATACTTACATATTTAACTGTATTATTTAATTATTTATTTTATGATAGTTACAAAGTAAATTTCCAACATATCACTATTTTCATATTTACTATTATTTTTTGTAACATTGACTAGCATTTTACTAAATAATGTAACTCAAAATTATTAAGAAAATATAAATAATTATTGTTCATTAAACTATTGTTTATTTAACTTCGCTAGCTTTTTTTCAGCATATTTTACAATTAATAATTAATTAATTAATTAATAATTAATATTCTGGTCAATTAAAATTATTTTAATGGACTAGAATATTATCACACTTTTCCTTAAATATTTATATATTTTCAATGAAAATCAAAATAGAGTATATTATACTCTCATTTAAAGGCAATTCTGATTAAAATACGAATACTTAGGACTATGTTTATTTTCCAAAAAATCTTAAAGTATAATAAATTTGAACGGGTTTGGTAAATTCGGGTCTTTTATATTAATCGATAATACATTTGCATTAAAGTGACTCATTATATTAGATTAATGAAAACATTAAAGTGCATTATCGGTATGTGTTCTAGTATGGTTTATAAATTAAAATAACTGTGTATGTTAACACATACTATCTATATATATTATTAATATTATAAACATTGTTTATGAATTATAATGCCCTTAATTTATTTTTAGTTTCATTTTAGGCTTATACTAATTACTCCTTAAAACTTTTCAATATTTGATATTATTTTACTACCCTAATTTATGATTAAATTATTTTAAAAAAAACATTGCATTATGAATAAACACCATTCAAAATCAAAAATTGAATATATAGATGATTGGATGGAAGAGTTAATTCTAGTCGACATTTTATTGACAGAAACAATAAAAAAATTGATGTATGCTAGATCGCGGATGATGGAAGTGAAACTTGTGATCTGTTTGGGCACGTGATAGGGATTTAGAAAATGGCATATTTTAGGTCAAGGCACCCAATCGGTATTATATTATATCAATATTATATATTATATATAATATTATAGTAAAATCCTAATAAATTTTGTGTAAATATTTTGATAAAAACGGAATCGATCGATAATATGATTTTAACTATGAATTGACTATGACAACAAAATCATAGTTAAATATTTTAATAAAAGCAGAATAGTTCAAATACTATAGTTTTACGAATATTTAATAACCAAATAGTTGTTAACTCAACTAAGTCACCTAAGTTGTTTTTCTCACTATGGCACCCACATACGTATTAGCAAGAAAAACACTAATCATGATAAAACCATTATATGTATTCCTTGTTGCGCTCAGAAGTTAAAATTGAAAGATGATATTTTAGACATTTTTAAATAAATATTCCCAAAAAACAATATGTATAATTCAGAAATCACAAGTTTTTAAAATAATTATATTTAATGATATTGCAATTATGAATAAACCGATAATTATTTCAATACGTATACATTGATATTTATGATGAAACAAGGAGTAAACATAATTATAGTTTATACCTAAATCATGGAAATTATGTTAGAAAAAATATATGGTGAAATCGAGTAAAAATGGTATTTGTTATAGAAGATTTATAGCTTGTGATACATCAGTTATTTGCATTGAAAAAACATGAGTTATTTAAACTTTAATATTTTGCAACAATTTACACATAATATATTTACTCAAATGTGAGTTTCGAGAACACATTTCAACCATATTTTTAAAAATGCAATTGCGTATTAAAAAGAAATTAATTGAATTTGATAAATATTTCGTTAATCAATACTGGTATTAAATAATATGGGGAAAATTTGTAACCGCGCCTTATATTACTCCATATGACCAGATTGGTCTTAACTAGAGGTCGTGGTTGTGAACGGGTATTAGAATACACGGGTACACGGAGCCCAGGCACACGGGCAAAAAACATTAAAGCCCGTGTATATCCGTATATTTAATACCCGTTCATACCCGTATATTTATTTATTATTACCTGTGTATATTACATATTATTGAAGAATTCATATGCACTTTAAAAATTTACATTTATAATAATAATATAATGTAATGTATATTCCAATAATTGGTTATTTATTAATAATAACAATTGTATAGCCCTCAATTACTTACCTACCTATTATTATTTAAAGGTGTTATGAATAGTTATAAATTACATTTAAAAATTAGTTAGATGCATTCGTTTATCGTATAATTGTATATAGGTATAAACATAAAGTATAAGTATAATAATACTTAAACTGGTTTTAAGATTAAAGAATTAAAAATCTTAAAGCTATGTTATCGCCAATATTATTGCATTGCGTTTACGCATGTGTGCCTTGTATCTAAACATTGTTGGTGATTTTAAAGTTGTTCCATACTTTATAGTGTCTGTGTTCACTATTGGTACGTAAAGTGTAGTATTAATATTTGTATTATACATATTAAAAATTTATCTTTGAAAAATGAGTTACCGTTCTAAAAGTTGGGTATGGCAATACGGCAAACGCCAAGGCGATAAAGCTTTTTGTGACTTATGTGAAGATAATTCAAACAAAGTGTTTTGTTGTGCTGGTGAATCAACGGGATCATTTGGAAGACATTTAAAACTCATTCACAATATAAGCAGAAACTCTCAAAATCCAACGTAAGTACTTAATTCATTTATAATAATTCAAATAAAAAATGGACTGGATTAAAAATTAGAAAAGCTAATTAATAATAAAAGAATACCTAATACCTAACCTTACATAACGATAAAGTGAATTGTTTAAGAAAATATATATGATACAAACTTATAGCATGTTAACTCTTGGTACATCATATAATAAAATAATAAAATTCCTATTAAAACATGTTCTCTTATTTTCTGTTACATTTTTGGGCGCTGAAACGATACCTAGGTAGAATAGTTCAATTTATTTTTGTTGTTTTTATTCTTTAAAAGCTAATTTTATTTTAACAAATATTTGAATTGTTGCCGCGTTGTGGTGAATTCACACTTTGTATACACGATGTAGCAGGTTCAATTCTACCTTATGCAAGTAAACATTTTGCTTTATTTCCTTTTATGACTATATATTTTTTAATACTTGGTTATATAAACACATATGACGTAATATAGTTTATATTTTTTTCACATCGTAGACATTGGACCTGTCCTAATAATAATTACAATTACATTAACAATAATAAAAATAATATATATTATACACTAAACATAATGTAATAATTTTATTATCCAACTTTTATTCCTATAAAATTGATTCAAGTAATTGTAATTATTGTCATACTTTAATTTTTTTCTTAGTGATGATAATTGTCATGAAGATGAAGAGTGTAATACAGTTGTTAATTTAACACAATGTTCATCTTCAAATAATTTAAATACTGAATGTTCATCCTCATCATCGGAATTTCGTGAACCACAACCCCGAAAACGGCGTAGAACTTATATTAATAAGAACTTTGAAAGAAACCGAATTTGTACTTCTGAAAGAACAGAAGAAATCCATCAGGCGTTAGCTAAAATGATAGCCATGAACCAAATGCCCTTATCCTTTTGTTCTAGTTCCGGATTTAAACAATTTATGAATATAGTTGAACCAAATTATATAATTTGTAAGGAAGGTGCTATCAAACAGAGACTCAAAGGATTCAAATAGTCGGTTGAAGATTCAATAAAAAAAGAATTAAAAGACGCCAGGAGTGTAAGTTGCACATCTGACTGTTGGTCATCGATAGCTGAAGAATCGTATATAATAGTTACTGCACATTTTATTGATGACCAATGGTGCCCAAAGTCATACACCCTGACCGCTCATAAATTAGAAGATCGTCATACAGCTTAAAATCTTTCAAATCAACTAGAAATTACTTTTTATAAATGGGAAATCGACCAAAAAATTATGTCAGTAGTTACTGATAATGCAAAAAATCTGTTGAATAAATAAATATCTGTAAATATATAAATAAAAATCTGTTAATATAATGGATAATATCATAGAAAAGAACGATCTAACATGTGCCGCACATACTTTACAACTGGCTGTCAATAATGCCCTAAAATATGATAAAATAGAAAATTTAATTGAAATATGTAGTAAAATAGTTTGTCGTTTTAAGCATTCAAATTTAGCAAGTCAATATTTAAAAGATAAGCAAGAACAACTAGGTTTGCCAACAGAAAGCTTGATACAAAGCTGTAAAACATGATGGAATTCTATATTTATGATGCTTGAGCGCCTTTATAAAAATAGGTGCCCAATTTAAAATGTTATTGCTGATCGTTCGATGACTACAACAGCGATCGCACATAAATTTGAAGTGACGGAGCACCAATGGACAGATATTGAAACGTTAATACAATTGCTTAAACCTCTACAAATTATGACTACTATTTTTTGTGGAGAAAAATATTGTTCTAGTTCAATGGTTAGACCTCTTCTAAACGGAGTAATACAAAAGCATTTAAAGCATAATATAAGTGATGATGAAATAGCTGAACATTTTAAAACCACTGTAATAAAGAACTTTCAGATCGTTTCAAATTACTGTGGTGTCCTTCTAGTGTCGTGTCTGCTAGGCAAATAGCGTCTTTTCTAGACCCAAGGTTCAAAGACTTAGAGCATGAAACAGTTGAAGCAAGAGAGAAAATTTGAACACGGGTTAAAAATTTGATAAACGAAATGGCTGAAATTAATCGCGATATGCAAATTGAAACATCTGTAACTAAACATAACGATGCTTTTGAATTTTTGTTTGGCGATGAAGTAAACTGTGATACATCTGATTCTGACATTCAGTATCAACATTACTTGGCAGAACCACAGTTAAAATTTGATTTTTATGCACTAGAATGGTGGAAGATACGTGCATCAAAATATCCACTAATTGTTGCTTTGGCAAAGAAATATTTAAGTATACCAGCAACGTCAGTTAGTTCGGAAAGATGTTTCTCAACCGCTGGAAACATAGTGACAGCCAAGAGAAGTTGTTTGTCGCCCGAGACGGCAAACATGCTGATTTTTCTTTACCAAAACAAACAATTATTATAACTTCCAAGATCGTGAGTGATTGCTTTTGTATTTTTTGCACCATATTATGCGTTATTACATAGTACATACTGCTTGTTAATTAATTTAATATTATTATTATTATTTTGTATTTATTTTATACTATATTATTATTGTTATTATCATTAATGTTTGAATTATATATACATATGTTTATTGTTATTTAATAATTAGGTAATACAACTTTTTTTTGGAAAAAAAGAAATTTAAAATATTGAGATATTATAATGAATGAAATTACAAAAAAATAAATGAATTCTGTATTATTTGTTATACCTACTTTTCATTTTCACTCTCGGGTATTTAGATACATGAGAATTAGTAAAACGGGTATTAAGATACACGGGTATTTAAATACACGGGTATACACGGGTATTTTTACTACTCGGGCCTTAACCCCGTCTTGTTTAAAAACACGGGTACCCGTGTAGTTCATTACACGTATAATCGAGACCTCTAGTCTTAACATTGATTTATATATAATTATTTTATTATGGAGTGGGAATTTTGATTTCAACATAGGACGTAGTAAATGGGACCTTGAATTTAGAGACTTTCTTTTTGATTTAAGGTGAGGACCCCAATTTAATCTTTTGTCTGAGATTATTCCTAGATATTTAACAAAGAGAGGATAGAGACTCCTTGAAAGAAAATAATAGGTGTGTTTTTTTTTATTGAGGGTAAAGGAGACAAGAACGGATTTATCTGTGTGCGGATTGGCGGTTGCAGAAGAAACCGTTTCTGGCGAGTGCGTATACGCACATATATGTGCGTCCATACGCACCCCATCGTGTGCTTGTTGTCTTTTAGCGGCTTCAGACAAACGTGTATATCGGAATGAGATAGTGGACTGTATTATGGTGGGAACAACTATGTTGGTCAGGTGATGGGTAGGCGAGATAATTAGATGTATATTGTATAAAAGTTATAAGGCCGCCGAATAACGACCGTCCGCCGTGTGA